ACCCCAATTCACCTTTAATGCCTATGTGTTTCTGTTGTACCTGCTCTACACACAGTAGCCTCTGTTATCTCCATTCTTAACATTTGAGGGGGTTGAGTGTTCCTGCAGAAAGTCATGGAAACATGCACACCACTGCCGGAACACATTCAGATTCTTCAGCATCAGCTGGATGTCAGCATTAGTTAATTATTTTACTTTCTCCAGGACGAAAGATGTGGTCTGGTAGAAGTGGAGGAAGAATACAGATATCTAATGACAATTACTGGATTAGGAGTCCAGAAGATCCACTTCCGGACACTGAGGGTTGCATTATCGTTAAAAACCTTGGTAACAATTTTTAACTGGTTGCCCTTGCTGGGGCCCAGGGAAAAACTGTTCCTGGTCCAGAACCTGCTCTTGATGCCCCCCCGCCCTTTTATTTCCTTTGGTCTGATCAGTGATCAGCTACTTTTCTTTTTAACTTCAGCAATTATTCTAAACATTCACTTTAAATGAAGGTTTGTCCTCAAACTCCCAAATAAACTCTCCTCCTACTTCACATAGAAATGCAACATCAGGTATCATTTCCTTCAATTTAATGCTTCTCATAAATCTCTCTAGATTGACAACACACAGTCCCATGAGCCTTGGAAGATGTGGAGGCCTCTACTATTCAAAGTTAATCTTTCACCAGGGTCCTTGATTTTGTACCTTCCCATATCCTGAGATAGTTGGCCTTATCAATGTATTTTCTTTAATTGCCTATCCCCCAGTGTATAAATGGTCTAAATTTCTTTCTATTTAAAAAATAGCCTTCATGTTTCTTTTTGTCCACTAGCAACTGATTTTTCTCTTGACTTGCTATCTCACGCACCTTTTACCTCCCCACAAAAAAAACAAAACCCACAAAAACCCCAATTCCTATTCATCTTTCATTCTCATTTTGCCCTATGCATTCTGACTTCTGCCTGGCACCAACCCATTAAACATGCTCTTGAGATCACAGAGGATCTCGTAAGTGGTAAATCCCATAGATGCTTTTCAGTCTTTGTTTCTCTGAACTTCTCTGCTGCACTTGATACAGTTGCTTATTTGCTCCTGCCTGGTGCGCAGGATTCCATGTCCTCATCTCCCTCCTTGTTCCTCTTTGACCATTTATTCTTAGTCACCTTTGGAGACACTACCCTGCTGCCTCCTCAGGTTGGCATGCCACAGAGTTCCAACCTTGTTCAGCTCCTTGCCTTTCTCTAAAATTTCTCCTAGCAAATATGGTTTGGCTTTAATAACCACTCTTATGCTACCAGCTACCAGATCTTTGACTTTAGTCAGTATTTTTCTCCTCAGCTTCAGATTTGCATTTCTAATTGCTGTCTGGACATGTTCACTGCATGTTCCATAGACATCTCAAATGGAATACAACCCAAATGAAACTCAGCATCTCCCAACGACCAGCCCATCCTATTCCTACTCTGTATCTTCAAATCAGTTTGTAGCACCACCTTCCACACATTCTTCTTGCTCCTAGGCATTCTTTCCCAATTATGTTTTGAAATATGGTTTCCTTACCCAATCTGATCTTGTTGGATTTTGTTTTTATTAATCCCCCCTCATTCTCTTTGTGCTTTGCAAATAATGTATCTGTATCTTTTCTCTCATATCAAAGGATTTGAGGTGGCAACAAGAGGCTGTAGCCTGAACACACACAATATAACATCTTATACTGAAACCAGTGGTATTATATTTTTACATAGCTGAATTGTGTGATTTGATAAACAAACCCACATTCAACAAATATTATAAAATAAAGGAATAACTTTTTGTGGTTGGCATATGGTATCTCAAAGTTTTTAAGTATTTTAAAACTGTTTTTATTTGAATTGCTTCTTAATATTGTTATAAAAATGCAAGTCCAAAGATCTAAGGGCAAGCAGTTGCCAGGCACGTGTTACAAAAAGTGTTTATGAAATCCAAATGCATAGTTTAAGAGAGACCATACAGGGATGATGGCCAAGATTACACTTAATCCACACTTGGAAAAGTTAGGAATATTTGCCCATCAGTGAGGTCATACATTCCAGGCAGCAGAGCTGATGCTCTGCTTGCTAAGTCAGGATGCATTTTATTTTAAAATTAAAAACGCACATATAGTTACATACCCACCCACCTCCCTTCTGCCTGCGCTGCGCGCGCGCACACACACACACACACACACACACACACACACACACGTGCACGCACACACACACAAACACAGACACTTAACCACACCAGCTCTTGCCAATATATATCTGGAGGAATCTCCATAAGGATCCTGAACAGTAGATGATTTATGAATCTAGTGCAATATCACAGCCAGCCAGCCACCACCACTGGCACTAGATTGTAATTTTGTACTTAGTTTTGCTACCACTCTTTCATATAAGACAGTAAACTAAAGTGATTTTCAAATATGTGGGAGACCACGGGGAAATCTTTTCTGCTTCTAGTAAGCACAGAATGCTATTAATGAGCCACGGATTGCTTCCCTACAACGCAATGCACTTAGCCACTTCCTCTGTGCTCACAGAAGCTGCGATTATCAAATTCTAAAGCAGTAGTTTGAAAAATGACTTCATTTTTGAGAATTTATAGGATATATATCTTTATAAATTTTATTTCTGCTTGCCATGGGGAGCTGAATGTCTGCTACTGACATAAAGTTTATATAGCACTTTGAGTTTCTGGGGTAAAAGAGAAACGATTACAAAGAAAGGTAAGAATATTAAAAAAGGGTAAGAAGGGAGTATTGGGCCCTGTGGATTTTTTTTATCTCATGCAATGATGTTTATTTTAATAGAAATTCTACATGCAGACAGGACACAGGTTCACATGGGGAGATGACAGTGATCTTCTAAAAAGAAGTGATAAGTAGTTTGATTAAAAAAAAAGTGTATGAGAACATCGCTTTGAGTCGGGGACCTGAGTTCGAATCTTCACTCTACCACTTATAATACGTCATGTATTATTCTATAAGCTTTACAATAATTGACTCAATGGGTCCTCTCGACACTTATATGCAGTAGAAGCTGTTAATATTCCCATTTTATAGTTAAGTAAACAGAGGCACACACAAGTAAGTAACTTGCCCAAGTCACAAGGTTGCACCGCTGATAAGTGACGAGCCAAGGTGAGCTAACATATATTAAGATTCTCATAGCAGAGGTAATGGTATATACCACTTATAAACATGTAGTAGGATGTTTACAAATAAATATTTTATTGATAACATATTATCTTTTCTTTATAATGTTTTTTAATTAATTCAGGATTCATCAGGATAAAAAAGTATATCTCAAGCTAACAATTCTCTCCTAATTTGCTGTGGCAGGCAGTCATTCAATCCAATTTTCAGCAGCAATTTAGATTGAGTATGTGCGACATTATTTGCCATTATATTCAGCTTTAGGATATAGCTGATAAAAAAATAAAACCCAAAACATATCCCAAGCATCATTAGAGAATAAGTCTTTTTGGTATATGTCTGATAAAAAAGAGCTTTGGAATAAACATAATGGAAGGGCCTAACTATATATGCATTTCAAGTACCATAGGTGGTCTTGATAAATTATTCTAAAATAATTTAGCACATTTACAGGAGGAATGAATACAAGCAATAAAATAACATTGAGAATGGCTACAGAAAAAAACAAAAAAACAAATAGTTCGTGTCTCCAAATACCTATGAATTTCATTTTGCCTTAAAGAGCATACTTGGTTGAGAGTCTGCATTGTGCAAGGAGTAGTGCTCTGTAATAACTGGACGATTTTGCTGAATTCAGCTTCTGGCATTGAATCTGGACATCAAGTCCAGTTGCAGGGTAAATATATCATCACTGCTAATATTGAGAGAGGTTGGAAGAAGAGGGCATGAACTCAAGAAAAATAAATGAAAATGAGATCAAAAAAGAAAGGTGAAATGCAGAACCTGATCAGGTAACCCAGAGCAAAAAATAAAGTGAAGAAAAAATGTTCAAGACCATTTTTATCACATGAAAAGGAAGATAAAAAATAGTGTAACACTGATGTATTATATGCTGGCTAACTGAACAAAATAAAAAAAATTAAAAAATAGTGTAACACGTTCCAAATAGCAAAAGTCCAAGAATAAGTAAGAAAAATGGCCATGTCTCTGTAGATAGATAAATATTTAAGAATATAGTGACTTCAAATATATGACCCCTGCTGGGAATGAAAAATATTTATTGTAGTGATTATTTTTTATATTTCTGTTTTTTATTATCAATGAATACTTTTGTAACATATGATAACTTTTTAAATATTAAATACATTATAAATACATTTGAAATATAACTTCATGGTGCCTTCTCAGCTCTGTTATTCTCTACTACTCTATAACACAAATGATTTTTGTACACACCATACTCTCAAGGATAAGTCACTTTAGTATATGTGCTGACAAAGCGAGCACTTGGATAAGTCACTTTACAAAGAGTACTTTAAAAATTTTTGTTCTGAAACAGATCTCTGCTACAGTTTTGTCATATTTCTTTTCTTTTCTGAAAGTCAGGTAAATGAATTTAAGAGGGATAAAACCAGTTTTCTGATATGAACTTAAGTCATTACTGGTAAATACACATCAATTTAAGGGGTTCAGCAGTATAGATCGTGCATAAAACATCATACTGAATAGTTAAGTGTGATAAAAGCAAAATGAATGTTTATGTGAGGCAACTGAGTTTCATTTACTCTCTTTATAACATCATTTGAAATATATATATATATATAAATATGGCATGTGAATTTATAGGAGAAATCAATTATATTATTATGTGTATATACTCCTCCCGTTAGTAACACACTAATGTATCACAGTTTCGGAGAAAAGCACCCTAGAGAAAATGCTGCTATTCTTCATGGAAAAATCCATGAATAACATTATGCAAAAATTAATTTATGATAAATGATTTAAATCTAGAACTCGGAATAGCTTATTTAAATGCCATCAGAAAAGAACACCTCACCCGCAAAAAGGAGTCTAGGGATCCATTTTCCATATATTCCACCACAATCATTACTGGTCTGCCTGCAAAAAGAGCAAGAGAACACACAAGGATTAGAGCAATTACAGAAAGATGTGCTGCAGTTAGAGATCTCCAGCTGTGGCAGCTAAATTATTTGTATTTTATTAATAGGAACTTCATTTTCCAACACGCTTCTACAAAAGCCTTAATATTCTACATAGGCATCTCTCCATTTTTTATAGCATTATTTCTGTTGAGTTCATAAAAAGAACACGAATTACAAGGGAATTAAGAATTTCCTTTTCTAAAGCCCTGCCATCGATTGTTTAGATTATGTTCTCTTTGTCCTGAGCTTTTCCTTAAAAGACCGGCGACAAGCTAAAGTGAGGCTTCATGTAGTTACCGAGGCTGCTCTGGCAGTTGTGGTAACTTCTCGAAACATTAGACCGGGCATTTCTGAAATATTCCTAAGGCAAAGCAGAGAGGAGAAATTTATAAATTCTCTTTAAGAAATTATAAACCATCAGTTATAGTCCGCTTTTAAGGGCTTCTAAGTGGAAAAATGTCAGCAGATTGATGAATTCCACAAAGTTGGTGGGCTCTGCAATAGTTCCTGATCATATCTTTATTGGACATAGATTAGATCAAGATAACAATGTTGGCAGTACATGAAAAATAAGTAACTCTGACTTTGTACTCTAGTAAGAAACTGAAGTCAGAAACTGAACATCATTTATTTCTTCTTTATCATATCTTTTTGCAACTGTTAACAGTTCCCAATACCTCCATTAGGTAGAATATTTGACATAAATAACTTAGATTTGTTTCAAAGAAAGGAATCTATTTGTTCTGCCAAATTGCTCAAATTTAAAAGATAAACTCATTTCAGATGAAGGGAAAATGATATTTACCTGAAATAAACATGTATGACACATTTACTTTTTACTTCTATATTTCTTGCTTCTCATTGAAATTTTTAGCAATTGAATCTGCACTGTGCACAGAGGTTTTCTCTCATGAGTACAAAAAAAATCTGGAAAGAAATTATGTGTAGCAATGATGGAAATATTAGATCTCATCTTGTAATTCATGTCCCTTTTATGAACTCAAGGCCTTATGGGTTAAAAAGGCTGACTGTAACAAATTAGTACAATGTCTGCAAATGCTAGATTTTATATTTGAATCTATATTTTAAAGAAAGATGTGCTAGAGGTTAAACGTAGTAATAAAACTCCCAATTTATCATGCATAGTAACAGAATCCAAAGAAATTTTCCATTTTGGTGGATTTCCATAATGTTCCTCAAAGTCATTAATTTCACCCAAATATAGATACAGAACTTTATCAGAAAATACTGAGGTCAAATGAAGTGTCCACGCTTTTGTAGCAAGGATCTAGAAGATCCAGGTTTTAAATCTGACGGTTTGTCATGAAATCTTTTATTTGGCTATTGGTTTTAGAGAGCTTGGAAATAGGAGCCTGATGCAAACACTTGGTTAGCAAGACAGGGAAAATAAAAAATCATTTTTTATACTTAAATATGAAAGTTCTGAGACCAGTATTCCAGTTTCAATGATAATGGATCATGGAAGTTAAGGGGAAACACTGGGTTACTACAGAGGTTGCCTGGGTTCACCTGCCCAGAGTCACATCATTTTAACCTACCTTGACCATTGCTGCCAGAGAAACATGTTTAGTTTAATAATATATATATATATATATTCTTCTCCCTAAGAATGTCAGTCTTGATACAATAAAAAAACTTGCAAGCACTTCCCTGTATTGATACAAATTATTATTAGCCCTATTACACAGATAAGGAAATTGGAGGATAGAAAATTACTTGCCCAGAGTCAAGCAGCTGGTAAGGCAGAATGTCTCAGAGCTTAAGCTCTTAACTTTTATGCCATAGGTGCCTCTCTGACATAATTTATAGATCAAAGCTGTAAGGTTCATCCTCCCATGCTGGACCTCATCTCTCCTAACTAGCCCTACCATCTCCTGTTCCATTAGCTGTCATTATCATCTATACTGGTTCAATCCTCTGCTTTTCCTTTTGGTATTCCCCTGCCACCAATTTGCTTCTTCTCTCCCTAATCTCATCCCACACCTTCCCAGAATTTATATACTGCACCTCTTCCTTGAAAGTCTCCATGGGGATATTTCCTATAAGTGGCATTCCCATCACATCTACTGTCTACATTATGAAATGTTGTGCCTGGTTCTATGTTAGGTTGTTTTCCTCTCTTAACTTCCCATAGATGCTATGTATCCCCATTCACTAGGTTTCTCAAAGCCATGTCCCGTAAAGCTGAGCAGAGTAGGTGCTTCATAGTAACAAGATGATTTTTATCAACGATTTTCCTCAACGATTTTCCTAATTCCTCAGAGGGTAACACTGAAGTATTTGAGCAAGATCCTAATCTATGTGAATACCAAGTACTTTGAAATAGGTTCTCTCTATAACTCCTTGGGAGATACTTCAGGCAATCTTGAAGTTCATCAGTGATAAGTTTCATCTTCTCATTAAGGATAATAAAGAGTCAGATGAAGACTCCCCCAGTTTCTTGTGAATTAGAAGTTTCACACCTGAGCTCTGCATCTTTTGTATTTTGTGCAGTCACATCAATTTAGAGCTGCTATTATTAAACTAAGGAGCTGTCTTATTAGAATACTGCTGGCATCTAACCTGTAATTTGTTTCCTAGTGGTTTTCTATAGGGAGGTTAGTTACACTGTGAAGATTACAAGCAACCTTAGAGTCTATGATCATATTTTATAATCAACAAAATAGATAAGTATAAGGGAAATTATGACAGGATGGTATTCAAATATGTGGCTAGGTGACAGAAGTCTATTGGTAAACAGTGCTTTGTCTTATTTTCAAATATGTAACAATTATATAATACATTATTGCTCTTGGAAAATATATTTGGAGGTGATTAATTCTTTTTATATTTTCAAGATATTTCAGCTTTTCTCGCTTTTTTTTTTTTTTTTACAATTTTAGCCAGTGTCCCAAAGACCTCATGTCACAGAATTAACTTAGTATGTGCACTGTACTGAAGTCAGTGGACAAACTCCAAGATTCTTGAATGTTAGTCAAGTCTCAAAATCCCTAGACCTTTTTTAGAAGCCTCATCAGTTTGCTTTAAGAGATTTTGAAAACCACTTCTACAAATCACACAAAAAGTGAATTTCTTTCATTTTCCTTCAAAAATAGCCCAGAAATGGTTATGTATATCTTAAACTGCACTGGAATCAAAACCTTGGAAGAAATCACTTATCTATATCCTGAACACAATGAATCACAAAATCCCAGATCATCTTTTTTCTGTTAGAGAGAAAAATTATTTTTGTTAATTGGGACTTCAATGGACTATTGACTAATGCTTTTCTTTTTTTCATTCCAAATCTGCGGTTGCCCAATACTTAAGATAATTTTGATATGGGTGGTGTTGAGAAACCACATGATGGTAAGAGTATATTTTCTTGTGTTGTTAAAGAAAACAGAAGAAAAACATTCTTCAAATGTTCTAAGGAAACTTGGGGAAAATATTTTGCGAGTGAAATAGCGTTTTTGTTTGTTTGTTTGCCTCAAGAAGGTCTGTGAAAGAAGGGGATTACAGAAATTTAATATTTTCATAAAAGTAATGAGATTTTGCTGGATATAGTATTTTGTATCAGCTTGGCCATTTCTAATATGCTGTCAGTAATATTAAGAATCTAAACAAATCTCAATGACCTCCAACCTCTGTTACAGATTTAAATCAATTCTAGTTTATTTAACATTATATCATGTCTATATTTTCTCTACCATGTGATAAAATTTGTGGCAATAACTTGGATTGACAGTTAGGTTGCCTGTTTTTTTCCCCCCAATTGCAATTCCGGATATTTGGAGCCAGTTATTTTTAACCTATTTCTACCTCCCACATTTCTGCTGTAGAGACAGTGAATTACAGTTATAATCTCAAATGGATTTGAGAATAAATAATTTTCTTATCCCTCTAAGGCATTCGAAAATATGGATGCCATATATTTGAACAAAGTTGTAATATATTTTCATTCACAAGATAGGTAATAAAATTGGGGAATGATTTTCCCTCAGACTGTTGCCTGGTCATTATCAGATTGTGTCCCAAATGAATCTTATGCTCAAGTGAATTCAAATCAAATCTTTTAACATTTCCTCTGAACTCTCTTTCCCTCCTATATTCCTGTTGGGGTTAAAATATCCCTATCTGGAGGAGGAGCAAGATGGCAGAGTAGTAGGAGACCTAAATTTCATCTGGTCCCAGGAATTCGGCTAGATAGGGATCAAACCATTCTGAACACCTACAAACTCAACAGGAGATCGAAGAAAAGAATAGCAGCAACTCTCTGAACAGAAAAGTGACCACTTTCTGGAAGAGTCATATTCTATCCCTTCATAGTAGTTAACCTTATTTTTGGTATATATGTAAGTTGTTCTCTCTTTAAAATTTTGGGATACAGTTTCTTCTAACAGACCAAAATATACCCTAAATCTCTAGTGTATGGCTTTGTTCTAGCCTCCTGCCTGATCACATTCTCTCCTTTTTTTTTTTTTAACTTCTCTTCTTTCTTTTTTCAACCAACTACTTATCTATTCCTTTTAAAAAATCTTTTGTAATTTTCATCTTCACAGTCATATTCCATCCCTTCATCGTATTTACCCTTGTTTTTGTAAATATATAAGTTTTTCTTTCTTTAAAATTTTGGGAGGCAGCTTCTTCCAACAGACCAAAATATGCCCAAAATCTAGTGTGTGGCACTGACCTATTCACCAGTCTGATGATATTCTCTCTTCTTTTTTGGTCTTTTTCTTTCGTCTTTCTTTCCCTTTCTTTTCCCTCTGTTTCAGTCTCTTCTGATTTGTTTAGTGTATATTTTTCAGGGGTCGTTGTTATGGTGTTAGCATTTTGTTCTCTCATTCAACTATTCTCCTCTGGACAAAAATGACAAGATGGAAAAACTCACCTCAAAAAAAAAGAACAAGAGGCAGCACCAACAGTGACCTAATCAATATGGACATTAGTAAG